TATTATCATTCTTTATTTTTTGCTGGTTAAAAAAAATAAGAACCATCAAATATAGTATTTGATGGTTATATATACTATCGTGCTATAACTGTGTCAGCTCACCAAAACATTATCACTAGGTATTTCCTCCAGCTACACAATAACACTATTGATCCGCAGCTGTGGGTTTGATGGCGTGTAATAGCATTGTTATAATAGACTTTTGTATATTGATTGAAAAAGAGTCAGTTGTTTACGTGGCCGACAGCAGAATCCCGCACCACAATAAGAGTTTTATACCTTTTGACTTCTTGCTATAAGATCAACCTTCGTGGCATTTAATTTCTCAATAGATATGTCTTCATCAAGACTTCCAGATTCATAGATTTTCATCTTCTGCCATCAAATAAAAAGTCACAGAGGTTGCGGCAATCTGTTTTCTTATTCATTGAGTCTTACAAAGTCCAATACTAATACTTTGTGATTTTTCCAATAATTCTGAGCTCCATGAAACTACACTACATTGACATAAAGTCAAAGGCTAAGGCAGCATTGCAAAGTGTAATGAGTTGACCTTCACAAGAGCCCTTACATTCCTGTTGACACCCTCTTACAAAATGAGAAAAACCACCCAGCTGTGACTTGCTGTGACAATGCTACAGATCATTATTGCTGCTCTACATCCAAATGCAGTTCAATTTGATTCTTATAATTAAGTTTATTACATTGCTCTTGTGTCTTACAGCTAGACAGTCTAATCACAGCTAGTTCTGACTTTCTGCTCACTCGGATGGCCAGTGCTAAAGTGGGTTGATGTGGGTAAACAGAGAAGCTGAAAGGTAAATGCCAGCGTCAGCGCTGTTGCTCTGCTGTTTGTTGGTTTGTATTGATCTGCTCTCAATTAAGCCTGTGTTGAATGAGAACGCAGGTGAAGTTAGACTTGTATAAGCTGCCAGAACAACTGTGAATGTACTTACATGCAGAGTAAGATCTGGAGAATGGACAAAAAATATATGTTGAGATATAGGCCGTATGACCTCAATCCTAAAAAGTACACTGTTTAGGACATTGACCTGGTAGTTAACCATAATCAGTGTAAGATCATGCATTTCTAAAAGTGAAACAATGCCATTGTTTGATCACAGCACAACACAACAGTGCATGTTGGGTATGACGCAACACTTATGTTGTTTAGCCTAAAAAAACATCCGCTCTGCATCACTTTCTGAACTGTGACAACATCGGCCATCTTACACAGAGTTAAGTCTAAATTAATCTCTGGCAGCCTTTCACTTTAGATCTGAATGGAAAATACAGTTGAGAAAAGACCTTTAGAATGCAGTGGCCATAACTGGACACAAAATGTTTTATATATTTATTGTATTGAAAAGAATAATGTGGAAAGCTAGTGACAATGAACACCATAATACAATACAATTCAACTAACTATTGTTGAAATTTGTCTTTGACCTAAATTGGCCTGGTTTGATTTGATTTTTTATTTAGTTTAATTTCATTTCATTTCATTTTATTTTAAAATTTAATGTTAAAAACTAGTGGAAAAAACTGGCATCATCTGGAAAGACGCTTTATTACTGAAAATAATCTTATGAAATTTGTAGGTCTCTTTCGGAATATCATTTGTAATCACTTTCACTTATTCTTCCATAGTCTAACTTGCATGTTTATGTTAAGGAAGAGACTACAAAATACTTTTCCCAGTAATAATTGATTTCAAGTAGACCTAATGCTACTCAATATGATCCACTGTGTTTGTTTGTCAGCTGCATGCCATTAGCTCATTTCCCCTTGTAACCATCAGGTTCATTGTGCTTTAATGAACATCACTACAACACTCTTCTTTTTAATGAGGTGTGTGTCCATGCATGTGTACGTGTGTAAATACATAGACAGGATAATTCATGTTCAGTGTGGTTGGGAGGGATTTTGCAAAAGTATAAGGTTAATGGAGAAGTGAGGATGGATGGATGATGGAAGCTCTTGAGTGCTTCTGACCTCAGGACTCTTCTGATTCAGCCTTACATCTGAGAATCAGGTATTATAAGAGGGTTGAAACAAGAGCAATATGGAAGGTCCACCTTTATTTGCTATATATATATTACAGTGTTTATTTCCCCATTGAAAAGATTAGTGTTGAAAATTGCACTGAACACTTTTTTATTT